TAATGTAAACTTAGACCTAGGCAGTTAGGGAGGTGCAACCCAGCCCAGTCAGGGCATCTGATTTACTTTCCCTTTGAAATGTCAAAACATGAATAATATTATTCAAAAGCTACATTGTTAAGAGTTCCAGTGAGAATCTACCTTAATGGTTGTGTGAACATGTGCATATGTATGGAGTTAAACTGCATACTTGTACCCAAAGCTTTAGGACACTGTAGCATTTAATTATTTTGTTTACAGAATTTGCTCCAGAGAAGTAAGGTACATATATGTACCTAAATACTATTTTTATCAATTTCCAGGAAGGGTAGGGCTTCTGTTTTTTGTTTTTTTTAATTAATGTTAATAAGGTCATCAGCCCTCTTGTTCCTCCTATTCTCCTCTCTTTTTGCTTTTTAAATTTATTTACCCTGGGGGAGGGGGGGGGGGGGGGGGGGCGTCAACCACTCATTGTTTAACGTGTAAAACTGACTCTAGACATCTTTTTTTTTCTAAATTCAAACTAATTGTACCATCAAATCAAAAGATAGTCTAAATAAATCTATGGGTTTGTATTTTCTCTTTATATAAAACAAAAGGATATCTTAGACTTCAGACTACATGTACATCAAATTCAGCATTATGTTATAATTGTAGTAGAATAGGGGCCATGTTATTTTAACTGCTTGCACGAAAGAAAGAAATCATCAAATTTAAAAGTTTGTTTCAAAACATTGATTTTTAGATTAGAATCAAGTGTTTCTGTAAATTTGTTAATATTTTTTATTCGGAAAAAACAAAGAAAATCATTGAATACCAAAAGAGTACATTTGGAAAAGAGCCACATGGATGCTGGGAAAAGAAAAAGATTAACTTAATAACTATTTCCCAGAGGTCTTCTTTTCCAATCTATGTGACTTTACAGAAATGGTAACAATAAAATTGTGAGGTATACATAACAATTTATAAATCACTATTAATCAACAATAATCATTGATAAGATAAAAATTTATTAAAAACATAAATCAGGGAATAATTTTCCTGGTATCGCATCGCAATTTGCTATGCATTTTTGCATGACTGCTATACAAAATATCTTTTGTGTAGCAGTTTTCTTCCATAGAAATGTACAGAATTTCATTTGAAATATTTATCCATCGTCTGAAATTGCTAATCAAAAAATTTGAGGAAAATTATTCCCTGTAAAAAAACTTACCCCCCCCCCCCCCCCCTCTGAACAAAAAAGAGGGAAAATGTCGCTTTGTGTACATGTACATGTACATTATATAGCACCATGGAAAAATGGGGGGGGGGGGGGAGGGTGAATACATGCACTCAAATCCGACTCTTAACCTGGAATTTTACCTGAAGATGGCACTGTGCAGCTGGGTATGATAACAAAAACAGCAAACAAACAAAATTGAGACAGAGACAGCTCATCATAATTAACTAATTTATGTTAACTCATCTGTATACTGAGAATTTGTTCTTTTAGTTTTAAAGTCAAGTAAGAAATAATAACACAACAACAGTCTTCAAATCAGTATTGAGAGTATACTAGACACTGGGAAATGTGTGGATGGCAGAGCCATGGAGTCTTTGAGTGCAAGCTGTCAAATGTTTGAATCAAACAGTGTCAGAATATCTTTGGTTATGCAGATAGCATTTTGGACAGCTTCACATTTTATAAGGCCAACAAAGACTTTGAGAACAAAGCTAGTCATAAGATAATGTCGCCTGGTACAGAATACTCCATTTCCTGTTTTCTATGTTTGAGAATAATTCGTCTAGCTCATCTTTGTATCTATTCATTTTTTCAACATGTTCTCTACTGTGTATGAACCAGGCACGTTGGCCATATTCAATAATGCTTATGGAGAACGAGGCATTTGTACAAACACAGCAGAGAGTCACTTGACAGATTGTTTGCTACACTGATGATGAAACTTAACATTCCATTAGCCTTTGATACAACATAATCAACATGATTTCACCAGGTCATTTTATTATTCAAAACAATGCCAAGGTATTTATATCGCGTAGCAACTTAAAATGTACACTGTATAATCATTAATATGGTAATGGGGTTGACCTGGGATTTTTTATTCGGTAATGCGCATAACTTTACATTTGGAAGTGTTCAGCTTCATTTTGATTGTCAGTCACTACATATTGACTCTAGATTTGTGCAGCTACATGAACATTGTAGAATCTGCAGCTAGATATGAGAGATTTAATTGTTATTCAATTAGTTGGAATGCAGAACTGAACAAAGTCTCTCCAAAATACCTTCCTTTAATACCATTTTGCCAATAGCTCTCACATACTTATAAGGGTTATACTATGTAACAGCAACAGTTTCGAAATGTGATTGTACAGGTTTGAAAATCATCGCTACCAGTAGGTTAATAGTACTTCTCAACCAAAAAATCATTTTCGAAATAGTAGTCATGGAAATGGTTCATTAGATGGCACATATTGTACTACAATACATCTAGGAACCTGCGAACCCTTAAACAAGCCCTTGAGCCCAGCCACAAGAGACTTTGTCATTTGCATCAAATCATACTTATTCCACATTCTAATTTTACTTGTTTGAATATTTGTTTGTGGACCACCCTGAACATGTGGAAGATTAGCCTGTTTAAAATTTAACAGTAGTACAGAGAGCTGTGATGTTTTGAAAGTGGTGATGGATCCATTTCTGCTTTCATGAAGTTAATTTCATGAAGTAATTTGTGGAACTCAACTTATTTCAGTCAAATGCATCTAGAATGGTCTAGAAATCAAATTTGCTGTTTTTTTAAGTACCAAAATTCCCTTTTAAGTACATATATGTTTATACTATAAAAGTGTATTCCTTTTGTATTTCCTAATCGGCCCTTTTGTATCAACTCTGTTATCGCCCTTTTTTTTTATATATCGGTCACATATTCCTCTAACAAAAAACTGGACAGCTTCTTTTTTTTTTTTACTAATCTTGTGACAAACAATGTAAAGAAAATATCCTAGTATGTGTCTTAATGTTGAAGACAGAATGAGCTATGGTATAATTTCAAGCATCCATGTTTGCTCTTAAAATGACATGCATGGCCCTACATGTACATACATGCACATATTTTCTGATCAGTCATGCGCTTGAATGAAAGATGCAGTTTGTCCATTTAATTTCCATTCTGTCCTATAGATTTGGTAAAAGCTAAAATAATAATTATTATTTTATTTATAAATCCCTTCTCCCTGAGGATCCTAACCACCAAATAGCATTAATAACCCAAGATGTAACTAACTATGGTCAGTTATCTGCCCATGGCCATGATACTTTGAAATTTCTTTCAATATTTATACAAATAGAGCAAACTAAAGCATAACTTGTTTTTATAATTTCTGTGTGCAAAGTTATTCTTTGCATAATTTTTCTACTTCAAATAAAATGTTTCTCTATTTTGATCCCATTTCCACTCTGTTGCTCTATGTGATAAGGATATTCCTTATGCAAATACAATCTCCTACACATAATGATTGGCCTTTCTTTTAAACGTTATTGGATTTGTGTGTGTGTGGTGAGTGCGCGTTTTTTTGTGGTCACTGTTATGCTTAAGCACAGCACTCAATATAAAATGTTATTCTTTAACTCCAGCATGATTTCATTTGCGTTTCATATATTATTTAATATGTAGAGCCATCCCTTGGCTTTAGTATTTTAAGGAGGGTTGGGGATGATTTGTTTTCCTCACCCCTCTTCTGTTCAAAGTTAATGACTGCGATGGATTAGAACAACCTTTATAGTGACTTTGAGACCAATTTTGTGGACAGTCCATAGCAAGGTTTGGCAAAACTTTATTATTATATAATTGCCATGTCAAATGATAATCATAGCTGGCACTAACATGATATGAATCTTTTTGTTTATACACGGCATCTCAAAAAAATGTGCAACAAGATGTTGATTGGCAACATCTTAAACAGCACTCATTCATCCATTTCGCCAGTAGTGCCGTCTTAGTATCTTCTGAGTACTCTTTATGAATCGTACGGGGATCTAATCTGCAAGTTAGGATTTGTTTTGCTACATGTATATGTGTCATATTTTAGATGTTACAAAGAAAGCATGATGCATGGCATCACCGATAATCATCACTGATACATTTCAAATTGCTATTTCATTAGCAATCTCTGAAATGTCATGAATATATATTAGTTGAAATACATAGTACTAGAACCAAAAGAGAGTGCTCCAAGGAATTTCTGATGCAAATAATTTGTGCTTACTTATTATTTATTCTTTTAAACTTACATGTAAAAAAAATCAGGTCCAAGATTCTGGTGAAGTTCATGTTGAGAGTAATTATAAATGTACCATCGGGGCCTACCCTACACTGTATACTGGATAGCTGTGATCTGCAGTTTTTTTTGTATAGTATATTACTATGGAGGTTCATCTAGCGGTCCTTAAGAGTAGAGTATGATTATCTACACGTCTTTGCAGCTCCTGATTAGATTTTTACCTTCCTTCTCTCTCTCTCTCTCTCTCTGTCTACCACTCATCCCTCTTTTTTTCAATTTGCTCCTATTATGTCTTTCTCTTTATGATCGGAAGAGGTTGCGGTATTGTCATTTACATCAGTTTCCTATTTATGTATGAATGCATTTATGATGTGACTCAGAATGAAGTTTTTTTTTGTACTGTCTGCTGAAAGATGGAATGGTGTTCACTCATTCTTGTTCAACATTAAGTTAACCCCTTTGGCTCTCAGCATACAAAATCATGTTTGTGCCTATGTTAAATTGTATGTAACATCAATGGGAGACAAATTTTTGTATTACAAATGTATTATGGAAAATAAAACCAGAATCTTGAAACTTGTAAATGTATTGTAGACTAAGCATGCTTAATTAAATTCCTTTGAATTTTAATTATTTTACATGTTTTTACTGATTGTATCTATTTCAATATTTTTCTTTTGTATAACCCTAACTACAGTCTTCTTTGGAGCCATATGACAGACGTACATGTATACAGCTGAAATGGAATTTCCCTTCAACCGTACAATATTTCAGGGCTTATATTTCAGGAATCGGTGTTCGCCCAACGTAGCAGTTGCAGGTACATGTAATAATGCTATGTTTTATTTTATTTACAATTTTACATTTGCCGAAGTCCTTTCCCTGGAGATTATTCAAAGCAAAAGTATGTTCATTAAATGTATATACCTTTTTTCATAAAGTTTTCTTGTGAAATATCATGAGTTTTAGTCAAATTCCCCCCTCCCCCCACCCCTGTTTTTGTTGCTTCTTGCTCCTTTATATTTCAGCTAGCCCATAGACCTACGATATATGTTTAGGTCTTTTTAATTGAAATGAAAACATTGCTTTCTTCAGTCATTAATATGCAACATATGCATTATACACATATTGGGGATATGTTACCCCAAAAATATATAAGAGCAAATTACGTTAATGAAATAAAGTGTGGACGAGAGGCACTGAGCTAAAAAAAAAATTAAAAAAGGAAATGCAATCCAGGCTATGTACTTACAGCAGTAAGAACAGATTTAGGCTTCACTCAAGTCATAATGTAATTATTGTAATGAAGTGTTAAATATAGGGTCTGTGCTTGTAGACTAATAGGGAGCAAGAGAGGGCCATAGCAGAAACAGAAAGTGAATACATTTAAGTCATTTTAAGATATCTAATATCAAATGTAACTTGTCACTTTTTATCTCATAGAGCTACGTTTATATTAACAGCTGTGGTTGTAGTCTTATTCAGGAAATATCATAGGGAATGTCACTAAAATAAAGTCATTTGTTTACTCCATTCACAAGCTTTTAATACCCTATTGTACATCTCAAAGAAATCATGTTCACAATACAACTTTGTAATGAATGCACATTTCAAAAGTTGATGCTCAAGGCCATTGAAATTGCCTGTGTTGCTATGATATCGTTTGGTCAATTGAGACTTACAGCATTCATACATTTATTTTGTATAGGATTTTCCTCAAACTTTTACTGAGTTTTGTCTGTCATTTCTCTGCTATCAAGTTCATCAGTGTTTGTAGTGAATCTTCCCTCTCTTTTAAATACACCTTTTCATTATGATTAACATTTATAGATTCTCTAATGCATTGAACTAGCCTCTTTGCAAGTACACACTTTCGTATTTTCATGATTTCAATATTTGTTTTTACATGTATTGTAATGCTGACTCTGATAAAACAGTACTGGAATTGTTATGTACCTACTTTACGTTCACTCGTAAACGTTGTCATAGTCAGGAAGATGACTAGCTACACTATAATCATGATTCTATTAAACTATAACTATGCACATGTAATGTACTGTTTCAATTAAATCTTACTTACAGAAAAAGGACAACAACAAGTGGCACTATTCATGTATTCCTCCAAAGTGCTCATGCCAATCATGCCATAGCTGAACTTTCCTGAAAGACTGAGTCAATGAAAACTCTAAGGTAATTTTTTTTTTAAACTGATAAGTGTCAAAGCCTCACTATATATGCTTTTGTCATGATCTCTTCTTAGACTATACATAAATGGGGTTACAGCGTAAGAAAACCTTTCCGACGTTTTTAGGAGTATACCCATGAAATATATATTGAGAATAGAATATCCAGTCATATTCTACATACATGTATTTGAAGAGTTATATCTAGGGATTTGATATAATGACATGTTCGATAATGATCCGTTGTTGTACTTGATTAGATGCATTCATTCCTTAAATAAAGGCTTTGTAGCATACATGAATTTGAAATAGAGATCCCTCCTACTTAATTGTTATGTGTATAGAATTCATTTAATTTTTTTTCTTATTCGAGACCTTTTGCAGAACCCCAATAGAATCCATTTGATTTGTTTGCGTGATTGTATTTCACCATCCATGCTATCGTTTTCTTATTTCACTGTGCAGACTTCAACATATGTGCAGCATTTCAACCGAGAGTCAACACCCTCCATTGTAGTGTTCGGCAGGCTTTTCAATTGGAGTTTGGGCTGATTTCAATCGTAATAATAATAATAATAATATTCAGTTCTTGTATAGCGCATGATATGTTATGAAATAACACCTCTATGCGCTTCCAAAGAGCTTTGGAAATGATTACCCTTTAGCTCCGGCAGCCGTTATCAGGAATAATCCTGCCAGGTACCCATTTACCTCACCTGGGTTGAGTGTGGCAAATGTAGATCAATGTCTTGCCAAAGGACATTAGTGCCGCGGCGGGACTCGAACCGCAGACCTTGTGATCAACAGTCCGGTGACGTATCCACTCGACCACAACACAGGACCACCGCATAGCACTTTATGACTCTGTCTGCTTAAGCATGGTTGTTTCCTGATGCAACATCATCAACACATGCTTAATTTTCTTGCGTAGTGCTCGTATATCCTATATCCTGAGAGTTACTTTTATTTGTGTTACTTTATTTGGTCTGATTCACATTTGAACTTCCTGGTTTCTAGTGATGAATTATTGGCCATAATTGTAATTATCATTGCATGTCTACTTTAAGATGTGATGATACAGAAGGGCTACAGCCTAAGCACAGCTTCATATGCTTCCAGCCCCCCCAAAAAAACTATTAAAATGAATCACAAGGAGTAGAAAGAGAAAGAGAGAGAGAGAGATGGGGGAGGGGGTACTAATATGAAGGGATGGGATGGGGATTTTCAGCTATCAATGAAATTGTTAACTGACATATATTATCATTAATATTTCATTCACATGTTGCAGGAATGTCTGATGTTGAAATAACATGTACGTGAAGGTACAAAGTAACCACATTGTGTAACATATTTCCTAGTGAATGTTACCAAATATGTCAATGTAAAAGTGTTCAAAACGAATAGTCCCACCATTATTGTCGCTTGATAGGTCTGAAACCATGCTCTGTAATTGCCAATATTACAGTATGTGTCTATTTTCATAAAAAATTACACAGTGAGAGGGATCAAGAAACACTGTTTCAGTTCAAATGTACTATTCATAAAATCGAGATGGAAATCATTATCATTTCTCTGTCTATAACTATCTGATGCTTAGTTCCAAGATTAAGCGTGTAAAAGTAAGTGCAATTTTGTTCTCTTCACTCCAACCACATTGATTTACTGAGCATGATTCTGCATAAATTGATGAGGAAATGTAACAATACACTATAAAAATGTGTTGAATTTTAAAAAGTTGCCAGTTTCCGAAAAGTAAATCAACTGAAATAGGCCCTACAAGGATATTAATTCCCATTAATTGATGTCTTTGTAGTGCATGTTAATTTCTATAATGTGATATCATCAACTGTTTATATTTCATACAGAAAAATATAGAATACAGAAAATTAATTTCATTTGAAATGAAATAAAATTTAAAAACTATATATATATATATAATTCAAAATGATAGTGTTAGATAATTTTCAGATTGATGAGAATGGATAAGGATTTACGATTTGAATATATATTTTCTATGTGAACCTACTAAGATGTATGTACATCAAGTTAAATTAGATATTTGTCTACATATGCTATGAATGGTTTTTCAAAATGTGATGAAATTCAAATGTACATGTATATATCCAATCTTGTTGTTGTTATGGCTTAAATAACTTGGAGGACTAGGAGATATAAGAAACGTTGATTAATTACTCTTGATTGATTATTTACTCTTCTTTGCATCGTTCACTCTAACTGGCAAAACAGCGACAATTAGTAGACACACAAAAAAGTATTGCCAAGGCAATTTTATTTCTCTTATCATCCTGTAATGTATTTTTCTCTTCAATGTTTTGCAGTTGCAATGTGCAGAAGTTGGTATTGCTTCCGGTTCTAGGACACCTACCCCCTGAACAACCATTCCCCCAGTGCCCTACCCCCTGGACACCCACTCCCGGATAACCACCCTCTAGGACAACTACCCTCCTGACAACTATCCTAGGGGGTAGTTGCCTGGGGGGAGGGGTAGTTTTCCGGGGGTAGTCGTCCTAGAGGGTGGTTGCCCTAGGGGGTAGTTGTCCTAGGGGGTAGATTTCCTAGAGGATGGTTATCCGGGGTTGATGTCCAGGGGTCGGTGTCCGGATACGATTACTTTCCATGAATGAATCTAAATGAGCAAATTATCATGCAGTATCATGAATTTCAGTTGTTCTTTTGCAGGGAAGATTTTAATTTATATCATAGCTAGCCAGTTCTGAAATATCCTCGATTACAAATTACCATGCTCAAAAGTTGGAAATTATACATGTAGTTTTGTTTTCATTTTTGATATTGTATAAAATAGCATATGCAAGGGTTGTCCAAATCGCATCACAAGTATACAACCGTTTATTTAAAATTAACATTCATATGTGTTTTCTGGAATAAAGTTTGTTATTTTGTATTATTGTCCATTTCATTCAATTTTCACCAACTTATTTGTTCAATATTTCTACTTTTCCTCAGAACATGTGTTGTGAAGTTTGAATATTCCTTGTCGGTTTCATTATGCCATGAAAATAAGCTCATAAATGTAAATGCCCTTTTTTGCCCTCCTTAACGATTTTAGATATACAGTTAACACATGAATTATTCATACCCCTTTGTATATTTGATTTTTTTTTCTTTTTTCTTGTGTTTTTCGTTATTCAAGAATAAAAGGTCCACTAAGGGTAAATTATATGTTGGCTTTAATATATTACATTCTCAAGAAATGTAAATCGGAACAAATCAATTTTTTACATACTAATTTAAAAACTTGGTAAGGGTATAAATAATTTGTTCAATGTACATGTAGTGTAACATGTTTCAAAGGAATGGAAGTTTGATTTGAGTGTGCATTCGTGTTAGGGAGGAGAGAGAGAGAGGCCGGGGAGGGGGGGGGGGGGGGGGGGCACCAGTATTTTTTCGCCACTTTTTCAGAGAAAGGCAGGCACCTTGGGGTTCATTTAAGTAAAACATTTAATGCTGCTTCCTGGAAATTGAATACATATACGTAAGAACTGTTTTTTCTAGAGTTTTGGAAGAATTATTATATTCGGGTTAGTGCAGCCTAGACAACCAACATCACAGGCACGTACATACGTTTGGCATTTCAATTTCTACTGTTTGTAGCCATGAAGGCGTTAACTTTGTATATATATATTGGTTTTATGCTCTTGTGACTCAAAACAGAATTTCACGTTGACTAAATTTATGATAGAATATGTGATTGAATAAAATCACCAATCATTTTAATTTCACTCATTAATTTTCTTATTGCCTTTTTCTTTATAAACATGTATGAATATGATACAAAGAAACGGTGTTTAAACAAATTATTATAAAGTATTTGCCATCACCTGGGCCATGGACATAAAATTATAAATTAAAAAAAGTAGGCTTATATGCATCTTCTCTTTGTGTTTTGAAGAACATTCTTCAGAGAAATACACATGACATAAGATCATGATTTATGTCTATACATCTCGCAAGTTTCACCTGCTTTGTTTAGTTATTTCCATTGTGGATGTAAGACATCATAACTCCCTATAGGAGGTGACATCATATTTTGTAACCCCTTTCATATTCACATCTTAAATATATACGGGCTAGTATCGCTCCACCTGGTAGACCAATAATATTGCTATAAGAACATGACACCTCGAAACTGGACCTGTATAGTTGTGAATATGCAATATCAATAAAACAATATCATCTGCTTCAAAGTATGAACCACAACATATTTTCAGCACAGGACCACAGTACATGACTGTACTTACAGAGGCAAACAAACCTGGCCACGTAATTCAACAGGGCATATTTGTGTTTCATGCGTAAGGGTGTGGCACTAGCTTAATTTGGCTTAGCGGCAGTGTATATCTACGGAGCCCGGGAAGGGACATGGTAAAAATATTTTTATCTCGTTAAAACGAGATAGTTATCTCGTTTTAATGAGATAGTATCTCGTTAAAACGACATAGTATCTCGTTTTAATGAGATAGTATCTCGTTAAAACGACATAGTATCTCGTTAAAACGAGATAGTTATCTCGTTTTAATGAGATAGTATCTCGTTAAAACGACATAGTATCTCGTTTTAATGAGATAGTATCTCGTTAAAACGACATAGTATCTCGTTAAAACGAGATAGTTATCTCGTTTTAATGAGATAGTATCTCGTTAAAACGACATAGTATCTCGTTTTAATGAGATAGTTATCTCGTTTTAATGAGATAGTATCTCGTATAAGTCCATTGCATACTGGAACCGGGTGGTCCCTGTATTAAGCCTATGGGAGTGAGAGAATTCAGTAGTCCACGGGTTAACAACATAATACCCGCGGGCTAGACTAGACTGCGCGCGCTGGCGCTAGCGCGCTCGCTGCTTAATGCATGCAGTAATAGCGTATATAGCCAGGCGGCCATGCCATGCCAGGCCTTGTACGTATGTACTACTAAGTTACGTCTACGGTAGATCGACTGAATTCAACCAGAAGTTGCCGGTTGCAATCGCGAGGATTGAAGGTTAGTTCACTTCTTTTACTTATTTATGGCCGGGTCATTCAATGTAAAAGTGAACAAACAGCTAATTTAACAGATTTGCTCTTTTTCGCGATCAGTTCTAACGTTAGATCTGTGTAACGTTAATTTTAAGACTGCTCAATGAGCAGACTGCAGTCCCCATCGGAAGCGCCCTGTTCTGGGGCCCGACGCTTCAGGCTCTCCGCGGTCTGGGTCTGGGACCCTGGCCTTGGGCTTGGCCTGCTGGGAAGGCTGTGGTCATTTTGCAAGCTAGAGACAAAGTAAACTAGATCTAGACGTTACTTTTTTACGTGCTCGCATTGCAGTAGAAGTGTGGAATTTTCGTATGTATAGATCTAGACTAGTCTAGAGGTCTAGATATACGAGGAAAAAGCAAGCAAATGTCAGAATTGTAAAAAAAAAAACAACCTCATATTCCACGGCTATTGATGTCTAGTGTGTAGAGTCTAGATCTAGATTCAACTATGCAATATGCAATACACCGCAACTTAGTCTTAGTATAGATCTAGATCTATTTCAGCGGCGCGGCGGATCCAGGATTTTTCAAAAGGGAGGGCCGAAGTTGGACCGAAATATCAGCCTCTATTTGGCGTTGACGGTTGGATCCGCTGAG